CTCTCACACTGAGCTCAGGGCTCAGAGTTCTTCAAGTTTCCAGCAGATCCAGCCAGGCCACACCCAGGCGTGCCCCCGGCTTCCTGGATAGAGGAAACTTCCAGAGTTTGGACTATCATTTCCATCATCTCATTACAGAAGGTCAACTCACTGAGACCGTCTCATCAGAAACGTGTGTCGCGGCATCATGGTGCCTCATTTCCCGTGTCCTGTCATTCATGCTTCTCCTTCCTCCCCTCAGTCCCAGGGGCCAGACCTCCCCCAGCCTGATCTCATCCTTTGGGTGGGAGGGAGGAAGGCAGGTGAAAGGGGTTCTCTCTGGAGGCTCCTGGTTTCTGAGACGGGCTAATTACAGACTTGCTAATTAATGAGCCATGGGCTTGCATTTCGGCAGCTGAGTCAGAGCTGATGTCTGGCCCTGGACCCAAAGGGAGGGTGTCAGAATCTTGGGGGGGAACCTAAGAGGTGGAGGCCAGCCTGCACCTCTGTCTCCCACACTGATTCTCTGCCTCCTTCTCTTTCAAAGCCAGTTCTCTCCACAGCTTAGAGGGCACCAGCGGCCCTAGCCCACCCTTCCTGCCTGCTCCTGCCTTTGCTTCCTGCCATCTTCCCGGGACTGTCCCCAGTCTGTCTATCCCTCATGCCTTCCGGTGGGCCAGGACCACAAAGGGCTCATTTGCCCATGGACTCACGCGACTTCCTAATAGCCCATTTTCTCTTTCAAACTGGGTTTCCTTCAGCACACATATCACACCCCTGGGGGTTCTTGTCAGAAACGTGGCAAGCACACCTCGGCGGGATCCTAGCACCCACTGGCCATGGCCCTGGCCTGCCAAAGGCCATCCCCGAGCCACTCTGCACCTACCTTCCTTCCCACACCTTCCTGTTCAGTGGCTGCATGTACCCGTACTTTTCCATTCACATTCTAACCAGATGTATCCGCTTACATGAGGCAACTCGGCGGAGCCTTTACTGGGGAAACAGCTTTTATTTTTGTGCCTAGAGGTGTCATATGGAGTTTTCAAAAGCTGTGCTGTAGGCTGGTTGTGAGGTGGTTATTCCATAATTAGACTCTGCTGTGCCTCTGGTTCTGGATCGCATGGAGAACTGGAACCCAAGTGAAGAGGTTCCCATGGGCCGTGTAGCTCGGTGGTCAGGGCTGGTGGTGCCCTTGTGGCCCAGTGGAAGGGCATCCAGCTACAGAACTGGAGCAGTTCCATGACTGCTCCCTGGAACAGAGCCTGTGCTAAGTCCAGGAGCGATGTGGACGAAGTGACATACAAAGTCCTTAACACAATGCCAGGACATTGTGTTCAAAGCACAGCAACTTTTTACAATATTTTGAATGCAGAGGTTTGTCAATGTATGGTACCCTTCAAGGTCTCCACCCTCACAACACATGCAGAATCATGCTCATGTAAATCATTTGTCCCTGGGCCCACTGGCTGGACACAGCTGGCCCTTCCATGGGGAGTAACATGGTTCCTCAGCCCCCAAGGTCCAGCCCTGGCTGCCAGACCTGGATTTTGAATCAGTTAGGCATTTTCCCCACTCCTAGATTATACAGAAATCCTCTTGGTCTCCATTTTCCCCTAGGTGGCTTGCTGAAGTTCTTTCCATATTTTTCCAGGAGACCCATGGACCAGAATCCTAAAGCAGGATAGCCAGGTCAGTTTATACACATCTGACTTAGCTAAATATAGTCACGTACCCTCCAGAGGTGGTGCCCTTTGTATTCCCATGCAGTGTCTTCATAATACACATTTTCCATGAACTTTCTGAAGACCTCTTAATCAATTTCTGGGTATTTCATTGTTTCATTAATCTGTGTATTCCTGAGTTCTCCCATTCCCCAACTCAAAATATCCATTTCAAGGCTTTCCTGGTTATTCTGACTTGTTCTTCCAAATGAACTTTATGGTTCATAAAGAATACTGTCTAGGGATCAGCAGATGGCATAATGGTTATGTCGCTGGACTCCCACATAGTCAACTGTGGCTTGAGTCCTGGACTCGGCAGCTTGAAACCCATGCTGGGTGCGTGTGCATGAGTGCCCAAAATCCCAAGAGGAGAACGGAGAAGGGACTGCAGTGTAGCCATCCCCGCTGTGGGAGTGATTTCTCACTTTCCATCTCTCTGTCTCTCCAGTGAGTGCACATGTCCTATAGCAAAAATATCTAATAATGATTTTTAAAATAAGAATAGTGTCTTAGAAGGACTAATGTCCATGAAATACTGTGAAAACAGCAGGAAGCAAAACCATACTCTATTTACACACAATAAATACAGTGTTTCCCTTATAGCAAAGTATTAGAAGGAAAAATGCCCAAGACGTGGAGCTGCCTCTTAACAGTATGGTCACGGGTAGCATCGCTCTGTTACTGGCACAAACCTTGATGGAGAACACTCGCCAACTAGCACACGGCTGCCTCTTCACCCTCTGTCCTCGCCTCATCCCCGTACCACTGTGATCTTGTCACCCTCCTCCCCCGCCCCCCAGGCCACCAGGAGTGGCAGACCATTGCAGGCAGCTATTTACGAGGGAGTGCATTACAGCAGAGTGGATCCTGGGGGTTTGGCTTCTGCCTAATGTGAGGGCTGGGGAGGGCAGGTGAAGTTTAACCCTATCTGATTCTGCACCCCCTCTCCTGCTTTCCTCCAGCCCCAAGGGGAGCGCTTTCCTGCTCTCCAGGGCACAGGTATGGGAGAGGTTAGGGCAACACCCAGGGCCAGTCCACCAAGTTCATATTTTGGTTCACTATTGTCCGATAGAACCTTCTGATGGTGGAAATGGCCTATCTGTGCTGTCCAAAGTGGCAGCCACCAGCACATGCGATTGTCAAGCCTTGAAATGTGGCGGGGGGGCCAAGGAGCTGAATTTCCCATTGTATTTACTTAGTTACAGTCACACACGTGGCTAGTGGCTGCTATACTGGATGGTGCGCTTTCAGCCGATCCCCAGCCGAGATACTCCACTTCCAAACCAGGGCTGGAAGGCTGTGCATACAGGTGGGCTGGGAGGCCAGGCCTGGCAACAGCAGGGGGTTGGGAGAGGGCATGGTGGGGACAGGGGAGGGCAGCTCAGGGTCAAGTCCCATGGAAGCTCTGTGGGAGGGGCCAGTGGCCATCACAGTGGTAGTGGCCCAGCGTCACAATACCACAGGCGGGAGGCTGAGCAGCAGCCTGGCAGCCCAGCAGGGCAGTTTCCTCCAGGGGCAGGGCTCTTTGTCTGCAGACCTACTTACAGTAGCCAAGGCGTCAGAGGACCTGTTTCCTGGGGAATGGAAAAACAGTCTGCAATCCTAAAGCCTCAAGCTGGAGACCTTCAGGAGGCAACAGCCCAGGTGTGGGGCTGGGGAATCTCCGGCAGGACTCTGTACTCTGTGAGTGCTGAGTGGCTGAGCTCCTTCTGGCAATTCGGTTCTTCTTCTGCCTTCAGGACCAATTCCCATAGGACTTCCCTGCCACCTGCTCAGGGGCTGAAGGGCCACAGGGGTTGGCTTGGCCTTGGGTCTAAAGGTTCTTACTAGTGGGACCAGCAGGTGGCATAGCAGTTATGTGGCTGGACTCTCACATGGCCAACAGCTGTTTGAGTCATGTACCTGGTGGTTTAAAACTCACGCCGGGCATATGTGCATGCGTGCCCAAGATCCCAGGAGGCAAACAGAGATGGGATTGCGGCATGGCCATCTCCCCAAGGGTTGATTTTTTGTTCTTTGTCTCTGTTTTTCTGCGTATCTCCGGTAAGCATGTGTACCCTATAGCAAAAATCTCTCCAAAAAATTGTTTTAATAAAAATAAGGATTCATACTAGTGTCTTTAGAACAAGATAAAAAAAGACAGCTCTCCAAGGGTAGGGGTATGGCTTGCCCTGGGCCCAGGCTAGGTCTTGCTGACCCTGTGGCTCCCACGCCTGGTTTCCCACCAGAGCTGTCTGGGGAACAGGAGCCAGTTAGAACTGACCTCCTAGCCATTTCCAGAAGGGAGACGGAAGGACCTGCCCTGTCTGGGCATTGTGCTGACACTGATCCCACACTGGCCACTCGGTGTACACACCATCACCCAGCGGGAAGGGCTAGGGAAGGAGGTGTTACCCTGAGACCATGACACGCTGAGGTAGCGACACCCCCTGCTCCACCCCAAGAAGTGCTCTTGCTGCCTGCTGGGGCTTTTCCAAGAACACGAGCACACAAGGAGGGTTGAGGGGCAATCTGGAGCGACACAGGTCTCTAAGGCCAAGGGCACCCCAGGGCCTCGCCAGCCAGGCAGGAGAGGCCATCGGTGCAGACCTGACTCTCACAGGGGACTGGTCAGCGCCCTCAGGAAGCAGGGGGAAGAATGAGGTCACCTCTCCACAGCCACCTTTTGTCATCAACCCCCCGGGGACTCTCAAACCTAACCCCAACCCCACATCTCTATTCTCAGGTCTGGACTGGGGCACAGAGAGCCTGGGGCCCACGTGTGCAGGCAGGTCCGCAGGTGCTTGGGGAAACTGCAAGGATAAATCCTGAAGCATCTCCGGCTGCCGCTCCCCAGATGTGCTCAGAAAGGGTCAGGGACTCTGAAGGGCAGACGCACCACCATTCTTCTGGTGGCTAGAATCCCTTCAACCCAGTACGCAGAACTGTAGAGACACATATTTCCCCTCTGGGGCTACATAAAGCTAAATTTTGAAATAAAAAAATTCTAAAAAGCAGCCTATAAACACATACTTTTCCTGAAATGGGCCACATGCAGAAAAGGTGCTGTCCCCTCAGAGGGCAGCTCCAGGAGGCAGCTGAGACAAGTCGGCCCTCTCCACCCACACCAGGTCCCCTCAGAGGGCAGCTCTAGGAGGCAGCTGAGACAAGAAGGCCGTCTCCACCCACACCAGGGTTCTGGGACTCACACACTAGAGGGTCTGAAAACGCGAGCTTTTGTCATTTCAGGCTGTTGACATGAAAACAGCCCAAGGGGCTGCAGTGGGAACAGAAGTATGACGGCACAGACGGGCACTCCACTGGGAGGAAGCACACGGCGACGTCACCATCACTTTATTAAGGCTCGGCTGGTCTGCCATGGGGTGGGGCTGAGGCATGCACTCCATAGATCCCTGCCACAGTCACTCTGGGGTGACCCTGAAAGCGACAACGCTCTCTTGGAGATCCCGAGCCGTAGTCTACTGTGCTCCACTCACACGGCACTGCTGGATGGGGGTGTGTGCAGACACCGGGGCCCTCAGCAGGGGTGCTCCTGCCCAGGGGCTGGCTCCGGCAGGCCCTGGCAGGACATCTCTCCCAGCCCCATCTATGGCTTTGTTATCCTACTGCCACTTGGGCAGGAGCAGCTGGCCAGCCCTAGGCCTCGCTCTGGCACGCCACACTGCGAGGTGATAAAGGAAAGCCCCGGGAAAGAAAAGGCAGCTCAGTGCCTGGGACTCTGTCCCCCTCAGCTCCTCCCAGCAGCGGGTCTTCTCCAGTAGAGGCTGGTCGCTCAGAAGTGGACCCGCAGCACATCCTGGCTGGCAACGGGCCGCTGGCAGGCTGGGCACGTCATGGGCAGCGAGCGCTGTTTCTCACCCAGGCAGGGCCGGCACAGGAGGTGGCCACAGGGCAGCTGGTACACGGGCTCCTTTCTGAAGTAGGGAGAAAACACTCTCTTGCAGGAGGCGCACTCGGGGCCCAAGATGCTCCCAGGCTGCTCTGGTGAATCAGGAAGAAAGAGTCAGGGTTAGAGGTCACTCGTGCCTAGGCTCTGTCTGAGGGCGCACCTCCCCACCACAGAGAGCTGCAGTGGCCTGGCTCTGTCCCTCTTTAGCCCACTCTGGCTGACCTGGGAGGGAGAGGCGGGGCTGTTTCTCACCCAGGCAGGGCCGGCACAGGAGGTGGCCACAGGGCAGCTGGTACACGGGCTCCTTTCTGAAGTAGGGAGAAAACACTCTCTTGCAGGAGGCGCACTCGGGGCCCAAGATGCTCCCAGGCTGCTCTGGTGAATCAGGAAGAAAGAGTCAGGGTTAGAGGTCACTCGTGCCTAGGCTCTGTCTGAGGGCGCACCTCCCCACCACAGAGAGCTGCAGTGGCCTGGCTCTGTCCCTCTTTAGCCCACTCTGGCTGACCTGGGAGGGAGAGGCGGGGACCCTGGGAACTCAGGAGGCCTCCTGTCTACTGTGCTCCCATGAGGGCTCGAGGAGAGCTGGCTTCTGAGGGCAGTGGGCAGGACTCGCCTCACCCCACCCCATCTCTCTGCGGGGTACATTTTCGCCTGAGTCAGGCTGCCAGGGCTAGAGCAGGCACAAGTTCACTGGGACGACAGAACTGCAAGAGGAGACAAGGAAGGGGAAAGCAGCGAAGGCCAGAGATGGGGCAGGTCAGGAGAAGGGAAGTAGCTGGAGGGGCAGGCTCCCCACGCCCCAGACTCCTGCAGGACCTCCCTGAATGAGGTTTATAGGCAGCTCCTGCTGCTCTTGTCCCCAATCCACACCCCCAGGTCTACCTCCCCCTGTGGCCCTTGCCTGAAGAGCTGCTTTCTCCCCCAGTCCACACCCTCAAGAGTGGCAGGGGGTGGGTTCCACCTGTCCTTGAGGCTCAGTTCTAGCCATCTTTCCCAAAGGGACTAAACCCACCCCTCCTCTTCACCCACTTTCATTACGGACTACAGGCTACTCCAAGGAAAACACTGACACTCCTCAGTTTTGTCCTCTCAAGTCACCCTCAAAGTTTCCTCCAATGGCCCACCCATACAACCTGACCACCCCACGCCTCCTCCTTACACCCTATAGGGGCTCGCGACCCCTTTCTGGGGCAGTCAGGACTCCTGTGCAGGCCTGTCGGGCCTCTCAGACTCTCTGCACCTTGTAGAGCCAGCAGCTTGGCCTCACTTCCCCACACCCTGCACTGCTGGACTCCTGGCTGCATGCCTGCTGTGCCCTCCCTAGAATGCCCTTTTCCTGAGACTTGGCTCAGGTCACACCCTTCTGGGAAGCTGGGCTTTCAGAGGCGGCCAGCCTTTCTCATACCACAGGTCACGTGCCTGTTTCCTCCTCAGGCTCTGGAAGCCTCTCGAGGGGCAGTGCTTCTCATGTGCTCATCCCCAGGGCCTAGCACGGCCCCTCCCACAGCAATCAGTGTGTGAAGGCAGCAGCTAACACCGACACAAGGGGACCCACTGCCAAGAAACGCTGCTCAGTCCAGAGCCAGCACCTTCAGTCCTCGGGAGCAAGGCTTGTAGCCAGGAGAGAGAGTGGCCTGGCCTCAAGTGTCGTCTTTGGGCCAGGCATTAAGCTACCGAAAAGCACCAGGAGTCTCTCATGTCCACACAGGCCAGGAATCACACAGTTGAGCTGAAAGATTCCTTTCCAAGTGAACCTCTACAAGGAAGGGGAGGAAGGAAGAAGGAAGAAAAGGAAGGACAAGGGAAGAAAGCAGAAGGGAAGAGCCACCGCCTGCTATTTACGAAGGCCCTTCCTTACTTGCTCTGTGCTAGGTGCTTTGGAGGTCTGCTGACCTTTGGTGCACCTTTTCCCCCTAGGCTCTTAAAAATCGGCAGAAGCCGTGTGCCATGTGACGCTGGAGCACATGGGAGGCTCTGGGTTTGGATCCCAGGTGAACCTGAACGCACCAGGCACATCGGCGGGGCAGCAAGGATCCTGCCTGGCTGGAAGGCTGAGGGGATTACAGCATGGTGAGACCCTGACAAAGCTAATCCTCTCGTCTCCCATGAAATCAACTTTAAAAAAAAAAATCACACCTGTCACTGTATTATGGAAGCAAGTCAGGGCCCTAATTATTGCCAGCACCAAGCAGATGTCCTATTAAGGGGTCTTGGGGTCTATAGCCCCAGGGGCAGTTTCAGTGTTAGAAAACAGGCCATCAAGAAAAAAATTATTGGAAACCCAAATATGTAACTGCAAATCAAGGTGATTAAGAGAGACAATGTAGGGCCAGCAGGTGGTATAGTGGTTAAGGTGCTGGACTCCCTCATAGCTGACCGTGGTTCAAGTCCCAGACCTAGAAGCTCACGCTGGGTGCATGTGTGTACGTGCCCCAAATCCTGAGAGCAAAATGGAGACGGGATTGTGGCATGGTCATCCCTGCTGCGGGTTATTTCTCCCTTTCTCTCTCTATGTCTCTCTTTGTGTCTCTAGCAAGCATGTGAGCCCTATAGAAAAAATCTCTCTCTCTCAAAAAATAAAATAAGGTAAAGTAAAAAGAGAGACAATGAAAAAGGGACTTGAGTTTGGACGGGGGACAGGATGGCCTCTTGTGGGAGGAGACTAAGAATGTAAAGGGGCCAGCCATGCAGAGTAAAAGGGACAGCAAGTACAAAGAATGGGCTGTTCTTTAGAGGAAGAAAAAAGACACAGAGTATGACAAGTGAGTGTGGCTTCAGGAGGGCTCCCAGAGGAGGGTGCACGGGGCCGTGACCCACAGGACCTCACAGGCAGCAGGAGGTTCAGTTTCATTCTAAGCACAATGGCGGGCTGTGGGTGGTTTTAACCAGTGGAGCACCAAGACCTGGTTTACATTATAAACAGACCCCTCTGACTGCTGGCATGACAGCTGGGTAACACAAGGCTGGCTGAGGGAGACCAGCAGGAGCCACTGCAGGAGTCCGGGAGGGGCGCGGAAGCTGGGCCAGGGTGGCAGCCATGGTAGAGCAGAGAGGACCGATCTGAGGTCGAAGCTGGAGGACTATAGATAGGATTTGGTAAGTCAAACGCCAAGTTGGGTTGTGAAGAAATCAAGGATGACTTCGATGCTAGTGGCCTGACTGCAGGGTAGAAGATGCTGCTCTTTCCCCAGACAGGCTGATGGGAGGTGGGGGAGGAAAAGCTGTGGAGGGCAGACAGGAACAGTGCGGAGTCAGTATATTCTCAAGATGCACGTGGGAGACCAGCAGTTAGCGTAATGGCTATGGCGCTGGACTCCCACGTAGTCCACCACGGTTCACATCCCGGCCCTGGTGGCTTAAAACTCACATCGGGCGCATGTGCGTGCGTGCCCAAGATCCCAAGAGGAGAACGGAGAAGGGACTGCGGCGGGGCCATCCTCACTGGAGGGTGATTTCTTGCTTTCTGTCTCTATGTGTCTCTCTGTCTGTCTGCCGAGTGCACGAGCCCTATAGCGAAAACCTCTCAAAAAAAAAAAAAAGATGCACGTGGAAAGAGGCCGAGCAGCTGGCAGTCAGGGTCTTGAGTTCCAAGGAGAGGCAGGAGCTGCAGTGCACAGGGCCAGTCACTGGCCAGTGGGCTCTTGCCTGGGGGACAGAAAGCCCAGATGAGAGGCCAGGGCTGGAGTCTGATAGAGAAGGAAGAGTGGACAATGGAAACTGACGAGGAGCAGCTGGAGGTAGAAGAAAAAGGGCACAACATCCTGGAGGCGGAGGAAGGGTGTTTCAGGAAGGAGAGGCCGCTCAGCCACACTGACACTGCTCACTGAGACAGTGAGACCAGCAGACACAGAATGTGACAAGTGACGGACACTGCTGGTCACTCTGACAGGACAGGTTCCTAGGGAAGGGCAGAAAGGAAACACACTTAGAGTGGACAGAGGAGAGACAGGAAGGTGAGGAACGAGAGGCAGGGGAGGAAGCCAGCCTGGGATCCAGACAACAGATGGGACTGGCTCTGTGTGGCAGGAAGAGTCAAGCTTCTGCCTTATCAGAGCCCAGCACTCCAGTCAGCTCCTCACTCTGTACTCTGACAGGTCCTGTCATACAACGCTCCAGGTTCACTGCAGGCGAGGGCTGCCCCATAAGCTAGCGCTGTTCTATCCTACACCACCGAAGAAATGTTCATAGGAAGGGATGCAGGGACATGCTCAACCCCAGCCTCTCATCACAGTAACAGGAAGTACCCCGGATGACAGGCAGGACACACTAAATCAGAAAAATAAAAAGGAGGACAGCTGGATCCTATGCGGTCACCTGAGCAGCTTAAATCTTAGCCCAAACAGCTTAAAAAACACGCCAGGCACCTATTGGGGTGCCCCAAAACCCTACAGGATGGAGAAATGGAGAAGAAACTGCTCTGTGACCATGCTTTCTTCCTCCTACTCTAGGGACCCCAAATTTAAAAAAAAAAAAAAAAAAAAAAGAGTAAAAAATTAAAAAGGTCTGTGTGGCAGGTGGCATAGTGGTTAAGGAGGTGGAATCCTACATGGCCGACTAAGGTTCAAGTCCTGGACCCAGGGGCTTGAAACTCACGCTGGGTGTTGTGCATGTGCCTGCCCAAAATCCTAAGAGGAGAATGAAGGAGAAGGGACTACGGCATGGCCGCCCCCTCACTATGTCTCTCTGGTGAGCACGCACACCCTATAACAATCTCTTTAAAAATAAAATTTCTTTAATAATAGGAAAAACAAAATCCTTATGAGAGGATAACTAACTTAAATGACACACACACAAAAAATCACAGCAAAACATAGCTAGTCAAGCCCTAAGTCCAAAGAATTACTAAGGATTGACTACAGAAGTCCTTCTTGTGAAGAGTTCAACTTCACAAGTGTCCCCTCCCCTCCTACTAGAAGGTAAGAGAGCAGGTTCTCCTCAGGCTGGGGTGGGACCTGAGGAAGAGGCTGGCATGCGGGCTCCCAGAGTCCCCAGAGCCAAAGCCCTGCAACCTGCAGAGAGGTGATAGAGGGCCCCTGTTACCCGAGCCAGCACCTGGCCTGCAGGAAGCGCTGCTCCCTCGTGTGCCCAGATGTTGGAGCTGCCCCCTGGTCAGCCGAGCCGTGAAGGAGGGCATGGAGCCGAGGGGGGATGTCAAGGCAATTTCCAAGCTTTGGGACAGGCTCTGCTCAGGTTGAGAACTATAAAAATGGCATCTGAAGGTTAGCTCGGTAGCCTAATGGGAAAGGGAGCCGGATCACACACGGCTGACTACAAGGTTCGAATCCTGGCTCAGGCACCTTTAAAAATACACCAGACATGTGTGTATGCCTGAAATCCTAACAAGGTAAGAGAAATGGAGGAGAAGGAATTACAGTGTGACCACACTCCACTAGGAGTTGCTTTTTCCCTTCTCTCTCTCTCATCCTCTGGTATTAAAAACGAAAATAAATAAATATATAACACAAAAAAATGGTACTTGCCCCTGTGGATACACATAAATGTCAAGGAAGTCTTTTCTACTGTCTACTAGTGGGCTGTGATTCCAGGACCAAGGAGTGAAAGCCCTGGAAAGCCTGACAGTTTCCAGCCATCCTAGCTTTTGGTTCCTGGGTTCGGCTTTAGCTTTCTTCCTCCCCACAAATTGGTGGGCTGGTGTGGGCCACCTTGTGGCTCAACTCCAGAACTGCACCCTCTTTTCTGAAGGCCTCTCTGCTAGTCAAGGAAATGACTGGGGCTAGCAAATCCCAGCTCTGCCCCATACTCCCCTCCTATTCCCTTCCCTGCACCCTCAGTCTTCTTTCCCCAACTCCTCCCTTCTGGGCACCCCCGCACCTTACAAGGCTGCTTGCCCACATTCTGTTGGAGTTCGCTCGCTCCTGTTAACTAAAGCAAAGCAGTTACGACCAAGCAGAGTAACTCAGACCTCACTCTGACCATTCCACAATCTAGGGGTCCCCTTGGGAGGTGATTTCTCACTTCCTCTATGTCTGTCTCTGTGTCTCCGGCGAGCACACATACCCTACAGCAAAAATCTCTCTTAAAAAAAAAAAAGAAAAAGTTTTGCTACTGGTGTGCGCTCACCAGAAACAGAGAGACAGAGAAATCACCCAGGGGGAATGGCCATGCCACAATCCCTTCTCCTCCATTCTCCTCTTGGGATTTTAGGTACATGTCTTGACCCACAGCCGTGTCCACCTGCTACTGAGGAAGGGACATTCCTATAACAGACCAAGGAGAACTGGAGAAAGAAAGTGTAAATCTGTTTGGGGTTGCAGTATGGATGCCAATCTGAGCATTCTTAACTTGGTTACTGTAAAAAAAAGAAAGGAGAGAAGGATATTCCAGAACTGACTGATACCACAATGCCTTGTCGCCTGGGCCCTAAGAGAGCTAGCAAAATTCAAAACTTTTCAATCTCTCTAAGGAAGATGATGTCTACCAATATGTCGTAAGAAAGCCCTTAAATAAAGAGGTACAAAACCTAGGATCAGAGCACCTAAGATCCAGCGTCTTGTGACTCCACATGTCCAGCAACACAAAACCGGTGTACTGCTCTCAAGAAACGTAGCAGGAAAAATAAGGAAGAAGCAGCACAATATGCTAACTTTTGGCCAAGAGAATGTAGAAGGCTTAAGAAAAATGCCAAGAACAAATTGCCAAGAGACACAGGCTGTCCTATCTGAGAGCTTCTACTTCTAAGTCGGAATCCAGTCAAAAATAAGAGAAACGAGAAGAGACACAATAAGAAAATTAAGAGAAACAAATAAGATTGGATCTCAAAATAAATAAATAAATCATTTTTAAAATGTTAGGGGGCCGGCAGGTGGTATGGTGGTTAAGGGCACTGGACTCCCACATGGCAGACCACGGTTCAAGTCCTGGATCTGGTGGCTTGCATTCTTACTATTTCTCTCTCTCTCTCTCTCTCTCTCTCTCTCACTCATTCACTCTGTCCTTCTCTGGTCAAATTATAAATAAACAGATAAATAAAATACAGTTAAATAAAATAATTCTTTAAAAATAAATGCTAGGGCCAGCAGGTGGTGTGATGGTTAAGGTGCTGGATTCCCACATGGCTGGCTATGGTTTGAGTCCTGGACCCAGCAGCTTGAAAATCACCACAAATAAATAAGATAAATATTTTTTTAAAAAAAGAAAAAAACAAAAAATCAATGTTAAAGTCAGATTTAGTTTAAACAGCACAGTGACAAAGTAATCTAAAGAGGGGCCAGCAGGTGGCATGATGGTTGAGGCAGCTGAACTCTCACACAGTTCAAGTCCTGGACCTGGCAGCTTTCTTTCTCACTTTCTGTCTCTCTGTCTCTCTCTGTTGGTCAACTTCAAAAAAATAATAAAATAATGACAATGAATAAAATTTTATATAAAAAAGTAGTCTTAAGAATTTTTATAAAATCAACTTTAAAACCCTTACGTACCTTAGATTCCAAAAATCTCTAATATTCATTTTGTCTCAGTTTGACATTTAAAAGAGCTCGTTGAGGGCCAGCTGGTTGCACAGTGGTACTACAACTGCACCCAGAGGTAAAAGGTCCTGGATTCAGGCCCCAGGACCTCCCTGAGCACACGGTGCACGTGCACATGCCTGTGATCCAGGCTGATTGAGATTGGGGGAGCTGTGGTATGAAGACTACTGGGGTATTCTCTGTTTTGTTTCTCTCTTTCTTCATTCCCTCAAAGGAGAAATAAACTTAAAAAATATTGTTTTAAAATAATAAAAAAATACTTTTATCTCTTCTGTAAACAAACAGTCCTTTGCCCTGAATCATTTACTCTGGCTTGAAGACAGATAATCTAATTGAAGTACCAGGATTTCCACTCACACTTTCCTCAGCTGAGAAGCCATTTTTTATTTATATTCCTTAATTATTCTCTTGTCTTTTACTAGAATTTAGACATATGACTTGTCTATCTTACTTAGAAGACATGAAGATCACCATGGTCTTTCACCCGCCGGGCCTCAGGGTGTGAACATGAGTGTGAATGCAGAGCTCAGCAAAACAAAGGCTCTATATCTGAAGCCAATGCATGAGGAAACACAGGAAGGGTGGATGTGGGGTTCCTGGGGAGAAAAGCTGAGCTCAAGCAAAGCCACATGGCTGGCTAAACACGTCCTGCCGCACAGTCACCAAGTGACCCACAGATGCTCTCCTCAGAGAGGGCAGCATCACTGGTCCCAGAAATCACTGGAAATGTCCCAGGAAAGACATAGGAAGCCAGGATGACTGAGGAAGGCATAACCTTCAGTGGGACCATCGTGACTGAAGGAACAAAGCATGGCCTAAAACCTGGAATAGTTGAGAACAATCTAAGCCCTCCAGGGCCTCTGGCTCTCCTCTGGTCTGAAGAGGGCAGAGGGGATTCATGTGAGAAATGAGAAGCCTTGGCGCCACTCTGAGGACTGATATCCACTAAGCATAAAGATAGGGGCAACTGGGAACCAGCAGTTAGTGTAATGGCTATGTCACTGGACTCCCACGTAGTCGACCGCGGTTCGTGTCCTGGACCCAGTGGCTTAAAACTCACGCCGGGCGCGTGTGCGTGCGTGCCCAAGATCTCGAGAGGAGAATGGAGGAGAAGGGATTGCGGCGTGACCATCCCCCCTGGGGGGTGATTTCTCGCTTTCTGTCTCTATGTCTCTCTCTGTCTGTCTGGCGAACGCACGTGCCCTATAGTGAAAATCTCTCCAAAAAAAAAAAAAGATAGGGGCAACGGTGCCAAGTGTGCCCCAAAGGGTGGGGATGATGACAGCTGTGGACAGAGGACGGTGAATTACCTGTTGAGCAGTCCATGTGGGTCAGGCCCAGCTCACTGGTGGCCTTCATCTTCTTAGCGGTGTGCTCTGAGGTAGTGGGTAAGACCAGAGGGCTTGTGGTAGAAAAGCAGGACGCAGTCACACCATGGCTACTGTCGGGGGCATGGTCTACCTGCTCCATCTTCCTTTTCCGAGAGGGCAGAGCAATGGAAGACGGGGTCACTGCCAGTGCAGGCTGTGCTCTCCCAAGCACATGGCAGCCAGGGATGGAGTGCTGAAGCAGGAAATGGTCAATCCGGGCTTTCAGGGAGGGGTGAGGCAGCGGCTGGGAGTGTGGAGTAAAGGCTACCCCTGTGAAAGGGTCGCTGGGTACTCGGCCCCAGGCAGCTTCACTGCGGTTACACTTCTCCAGTGTGCTCTGGTCGATGACCTTGCCTGAGGGCAGCAGCATGGGGCAAGGCATGATCTCCAGAGTGATGGGGTCCAGAAACTCCTCAGGTACATCCTGAATCACCTCAGTCAGCTCCTGCAGACTGGAGGGGGCCTGCTGGCCCTCACCCAGGACTCCTGGGTCACAGTCACTCTCCATGGGCAAGGCTGGGGCCTGCAGAGCCAAGCCCTGAGGCAGACTCTCTGAGGCAACCAGCAAGACGCTGTCTATCACCTCTTGAGAGCAGGTCTTGGCTGGCTGGCCCCACACTTCCAACCTCTTGATGCAAGGGATGCCACTGCCCATCACGTGGGTGATACAGATCTTGAGATGGGCCACGTGGCTAAGGGAAAGTGCCCCTTTATTCCAGAGCTCCTGGGCCACAATAGCAGGGGAGGGGGGTGTGACTTCCATTGGGCTAAAAGGCGGCCTGGCCTTGAAGCCCCTGTGGCTGAACACCACTTGGCTCTGGTTTTTCAGTAAGACTTTGCCTACCAAGGTGAATGCCTCCTTGTCTGGGACAGATGGTTCAGCTGGGCCTGTGCTCTGGCCCTCAGGAGTACCCCAAGACCCTCTGCTAGATAAGGCAGACGTGTACATTTCCAGACCAGTGACATTCTGGCCTACCCCAGCTGAGAGGTCTATGTTAATCCTACAGATTTCCACATTAAAAGGAAAGGAAACCGTCACATAGACTGGTGGTTTAATGAAATACTCTGTCCTGAAACCATGACTTCTCTTTGTGAGGTCTTCGGAGATGAGATTTTCTACTTCATAACCATCAGCTGATATCTAGATTAAACGACGAAATGAGACATGTTAAAACAAATGACGACAACTAGTGTACAAAATTTTTTCACTTCTTTTTTTTTTTAAGAGGTTTTTGCTATAGAGCGCATGCGCTCACCAGACAGAGAGAGAGAGACAGAGAGACAGAAAGCGAGAAATCACCCCCCAGGAGGGATGGCCATGCCACAATCCCTTCTCTTCCATTCTCCTCTCGGGATCTTGGGCATGCACGCACACATGCCCAGTGTGAGTTTCCAGGACACGAACCACGGTCGACTATGTGGGAGTCCGGCGACATAGCCATTACGCTAACTGCTGGTCCCCCAAAATGTTTTCACTTCTAAGAAAAAAGATTTTTAAGAGAAATTTTTGCTATAGGGCATGTGTGCTCACTGGAGAGACATATAGACAGAAAGTGAGAAATCGTTCCCCAGGGGAGATGGCCACACCACAGCCCTTTTTCCTCTATTCTCCTCTCAGGATCTTGGGTACACACATATGTGCCTGGTGTGAGTTTAAGGTCTGGGACTTGAACTGCAGTCGACTACATGGGAGTCCAGTGACATAACCATTACACCATCTGCTGGTCCCCTAAGAAAAATATTTAAAGCAATTCTCTATTTAACAATGCCTTCTACTGGGTCAGCAGGTGGTATTAGTAGATAAGGCATTGGACTCCCACATCACCAACCTCAACTCAAGTCCCAAACCAGCTGGCTTAAAAATTATGCTGGGCATATGTGCATGCATGCCCCAAATCCCAGGAGAAGGGAGAAGGGACTGCACTGAACTCCCACGTAGTCAACTGCAGTTTGAGTCCCATACCTGGTGGTTTAAAACTCACACTAGATGCATGTGTGTATGCCCAAGATCCTGAGAGGAGAATAGAGGAGAAGGGACTGCAGCGTGGGCATCCCCACTTGAGGGGTGATTTCTTGCTTTCTGTCTCTCTGTCTCTTTGGCAAGCAAACACACTTTATAGCAAAGATCTCTCTCTTAAAAAAAAAAAAAAAACCCACAAAATCTTGTTCAACTAAGCCAAAAATCCATTCAAAGTAACATCTGGGGGGCTGGAAAGTGGCATGATAAGGTGCTGGACTCCCACATGGCAGGTCATGGTTCGAGTTTCAGATCTGGTGGCTTTCTTTCTCTCTGTCTCTCTCTGGTCAAATTAGAGGATAATAATAATAAATAAAATTAAATAAATACTTTTTGTTAAAAAAATAATAACATCTCTGTTAAAAGGGGCCAGGCATATCAATGTTTTTATATTTTGGAGGATGAATCCATACAGATTTAAGGAAAACAAAACATTCATAGGGAACCAGCAGTTAGCGTAATGGCTATGTCGCTGGACTCCCACGTAGTCGACCGCGGTTCGTGTCCCAGACCCGGTGGCTTAAAAAACTCACGCCGGGCGCGTGTGCATGCGTGCCCAAGATCCCGAGAGGAGAATGGAGGAGAAGGGATTGCGGCGTGACCATCCCCCCTGGGGGGTGATTTCTCGCTTTCTGTCTCTCTGTCTCTCTCTCTGTCTGGCGAGCGCACGCGCCCTACAGTGAAAATCTCTCCAAAAAAAAAAAAAAAAAAAACATTCATTAAAGTTCTCAATTTTGCATTGGATCCTAACAGTTTTCCTAGACAAGTATAACAACAAGCTTTTTGTAAATCTATGAATGATGAATCTTGGTATAAAAAAAAAACATTCACAAGAACAGGTCGAATCATAAGAGAATGGGAAATTTAAAACAGTGACTGCACTAGGGGAACTTCTTCTCTTTTTGGTATTTCTAATAATTGCTATAATCAATGGTAATTTTAAGATATCTGTGTCTGAAGGAGTTAGCCCAACAATCTGGGGACTTGAAATAGCATGCAGTGTGCAGAAACTCCAAACCAGGAAAGAGGTTCAACTTCTCCCTTGGTATATCCTTATTGTCTGCTCTGCTCTGGGGATAAATACCCTCCTCTGCACTAAAGGGGAGGAAGCCTCATTCAAATAATAAATAATAAAAAATCCAAACAACGAATACATGCCACTCTTCCAAGCATAAGAAATTAGCAAGAGCCAGACGGCAGCACAGTGTTGAAGTATGACGCTGTGAGCAATCCCACATGGGAAGGTTCTCAGTGCACACCCAGAGACCTCCCTGAGTCTCCAGGCACACAATGATCACAGCATAGGGACCCTATTCTCTCTTTCTCTCATTCATAAAAGAAATAAATAAGCTTTTAAAAAAGAAATTAGCTGAGGCTGGCAGGTGATGTGGTGGTTAAGGTGCTGGACCTCTTTCCACATGGCTGACTGTGGTTTGAGTCCCAGACCTGGCAGTTTGCTTTCTCACTTTCTCTCTTTCTCTCCCTCTCTCTCTGGTCAAATTAAAAAATAATAAATAAATAAAGTTAAATAAAATTGTCCTTTAAAAAAATTAGCAAAATGACCTGGGGAGGAGAGAGTTCTTTGCTATGATTCTGACTGGAATTGAAATTGATCATCAAAGAAAGAATAAAATAAAGAATAACCCACAGAATGGGGGAAGTGAAGAGAAGAGGATAGAGAAAGATAGCAAGTGAATAATAGAGAGGCAGGACGTTAGTGAGAAACAGATATGGTTTATTAACTGTTGATGATGACATGTATAGTATTCTCAACTGGATTGGTCTGAGAAGTATTTCATGATGGGCAAAGTATTTTTACAAGCAAAATAAGAAATAGCGATTGACTGTTTTAAAAAATAATTAGAATAATAATAATAATGATTGGGGAAAACATAGAATAGATATCGAATGTTGAAGCAGGGAGATTAATGTCTTTGTACTGACTGATATGCATGGCATTCCCTTTTGAAAAAACAATGTAATACATTGTAAAGTTATATGTAATCCAATGTAATATAAAGAAGATTATGATGATGATAATAAAAAAAAAAGAGCCCACATAAAATGAATCACTGCCCACCTCATGATGTGATGCATGATTCTAGAGATGAGCTTGACCTGCACTTAGCTAAATGCTGTCGGACAGAATCTACAATAATAAGAGGCAAAGTCCAGTAAGCCTGAATAAAGACCATATACGCAAGGCAGGAAAGTGGAAAAAGCATGAAAAATGTGTATCACAGTTTTAGGTCTGTATCTGTATCTACGAGCTTTGTTTACCTTGTTGCAGTGAATTCTTGGTCTGAACTGTGGGAGGCAAAGGTTTATTACCATCTTTGTAGCCAAAGGGATAGCTTCCAAGCATCAGAAATAGCCTTAAATAAAAAATAAAACTTGGTATTAGACAAAAGTCAATTCTTAACTTTCAAGAATTGATTCCTAAGAGGAGAGAATCAGACAAAATAACAACAAAAAAAAACTTTCAACACAGTCTATGTTCACTTTCCTTTTCCTCCGTAGATATGATGAGAAAAAAATTACTGAAGAATTACAAAGATTGTAATTTGTAAACTCAACAGGTTGCCAAAACACAAGGAGGTTTTTTTGTTTTTGTTTTTGATTTAAGATTTATTATGGAGCCAGCAGACAGCATGGTGGTTGAGAGTGCTGGACTCAATACAGCTGACCTCAGTTCGAGTCCCGGACCTGGCGGTTTGCTTTCTCACTTTCTTTCTCTCTTTTTCTGTCACTCTGTCCCTCTGTGGTCAAACTAAAATAAGTAAAGAAAGAAAGTTAAATTTTAAAAATCTTTTTAAAAATGTATTATTATTTAACTTGCCATGGGGCACATGCACTCACCAGAGAGAAAAAGAGAAAATGAGAAAGCGAGCTGTCGGGTCCAGGACTCGAATCACGGTCGGCCATGTGGGAGTCCAGCACCTCAACCACCACATCACCCACTGGGTTCCACACGAGGTATTTTTTAACACAGTTTCATATATGCTAACTTTTCTAGGATGGGAACGTCCATGTAAGTGGTAGAAAGATCATACTGTTTTGTTCAGATCATTTACTGGGAGGTCTTCACTATTTCTGAAAACCACTCCACAGAGAGCAATGCTGCCCTACGTGCCTATATCAACTCTGCACTTGTAGCAATCTGTATCCTTGTGATCCTACATGTTGGTAAAAGCCCCTTTACACCTTATCAGTGCTTTATGTTTTCTAGTACGGTCATACCTAAACATCTGCACACAAGAATAAATTTTATCAAATGTGTAAATTTCTCCTTTATATTACTTTAAGGGAACTGTGTATGTGTGTGTGCAATCATGTTATCTTATTTATTTACTTATTTAACAAATAATGTATATTAGTAGTTTATATTATGTTAAGGACAGTAGAAGAAACATTACAAAATATTTGCTATTAAAAGCAGATGAATCTTGGGACCAGCAGTTGGCATAAGGGCTATGTTGCTGGACTCCCATGTAGTTGACAGGTTCGAGTCCTGGATCTGGTGGCTTAAACTCACGCCGGGCACGTGTGCATGTGTGCCCAAGATCCTGAGAGAAGAACGGAGAAGGGATTGCGGTGTGGTCATCCCCCCCGGGGGGTGATTTCTCGCTTTCTGTCTCTCTGTTTCTCCCTTTCTTTCTGGCGAACGCACACATCTTATAGCAAAAACCTCTCAAAAAAAAAAAAAAAAGGCAGATGAATCTGATGGGATGGAGAACCTTGTGTCTCCTATTCTTGATGAGCCTGTGCTGAAATTCCCAGTGCTTCCCACGGAGGCACACGAGCCATCTCTTTGCCAGAGCATTCTAGAACCTGGCCAAGAATCGACAAGAACTAGTTTATACAATTCTTTTTTTATTTCAAGATTTTATTTTTTTAAAGAATTATTTATTTTATTATTATTATTATTATTATTTTTAATTCACCAGACACACAGAGAGAGAGAGGGAAGGTAAGAAAGCAATCCACCAGGTCCAGGGCTCGAGCCACGTTCGGCCATGTGGGAGGAGTTCAGTCTTAACCACCATGTCACCTGCTGGTCCCCCTTACAATTTTATTAATAATGGAATTAGTTACATCTGCAAATATTACATCTACAAATGTTGTAAATACTTCCCCTGGTTGGGAAACCAGAACTCAATTAGAGTAGCATTCCCTGATCAATCAGGGCAGCAGGTTCTCCGTATTAAAACGCTGAGAGGTGACTGGATTTGCTGGTGGCCTGGTGGTTAAGGTGGCTGGATCTCATATGGCTGACTCAGCAGTTCGAGTCTTGAACTTGATAGCTTGAAAAACACACCAGGCACATGTATGTGCATGCCTACAATCCTGAAAGGAGAATGGCAAGTCACAATCCCTTCTCCTCCATTCTCCTTTCAGGATCTTGGGCACGCATGCACACGCGCCCGGTGTGAGCAGTGTGAGTTTAAGCCACCGGGTCTGGGACTCAAACTGCAATTGACTACAGGGGAGTCCAGCGACATAGCCATTATGCCAACTGCTGGTCTCAAGGAAGAGACTTTTTAAAGTCACTAAAAAGAGTTTTGTGAGTATGAAGCCAAAAGGAAAAGTCTCCAGAACTTATCTGGGTCCCCGATTAATAGTAAATGCTGGCATGAGATAAAGATGCCCAGATGTGACCACCCTCAGGAAAGCTGCCCTTTGCCTTCCACCTTTTGCTCAGAATCACCACACACCTGCTCCTGTGGCCGAATTTGAGAGATTACAAGGATGAGAAGGGCAGGGATAACCAAAAGGCTTCAAATAACTTTGACAAATCCTACCTCAGAAACATAAGATAAGATAATTTGATACATATCAGAACATAAAAGGTTCTTTCTATCCTGCCTCTCACCAAACACTAGGCTCACCCAATGTTTTAACAATTGTCTAATAATTCACAGTGTCTAGTCAATTATTAGACAATGACCATCTAGTAGCAAAAATAGAACTCTGGCCAGGGAGTTACATGAAACAAATTGGAGGCCGCCACCAGGGATTTGTATATTTTATTTTTATTTTACCAAATAGCCACTTGGAATAAGAATTAGGTGGACCCAACCTTTTGTATTATACCAAAATAATTTCCATAGCAATTCAATATTTAAATGAAAGAAATACTAAAAGAAAATTTAAATGAATATTTTCTACAACACTAGTGTCTCCTTCTAAGCATAGCAGTAAAGAGCCATGACTTGGTTACATAAAAGTTTTAAGTTTTGGTGTGCCGCTTCTGCCGCCCTCTGCAGCCCAGCCCACTGGTGGCTACTGCAAGACTTTGTCTAAGACAGAGTCAAGCATGGTAGCACATGCCTGGAGTCCCCACTGGAAAGCTGAGGCGAGAGGATCATGACAGTGAAACCCTGAAAGAGAGAGAAAGAAATGCCAAAACAAACGAATACCAGATTCCTTTATTTTAGGAAGTGACTGACTGATGCATGCAAGCATGCATACATGCCAGACAACACATGTGTTCATCAGGCAAAGAGAGAGAGAGAGGAAGAAACTCCGAACCATGCAGTTGGCAATGTGGGATCCAACTTCTTAACTACCAGGCCACTGGCTGGCTCCACCACAGCTTTATATCATAGTAAGTCTTGATATTTGATAGGATGAGTCCTCTACTTTGTTTTTCTTTTTCAAGAGCGAATCAGCTACACATGGTCCTTTGCTCTTACATACACATTTTAGAATTTACTTGTCAGGATCACCAGATGGCGTCATGGTTACATGGCTGAACTCCCACGTAGCTGACAGCGGTTTGAGTCCCAGATTCAGTGGTTTAAAACTCATGCCAGGTACATGTGCATGTGTGCCCAAGATCCCAAAAGGAGAATGAAAGAAAAGAGACTGTGGCATAGCCATCTCCCATGGGCATGATTTCTCACTTACAGTCTCTCTGGTGAACACGTGAGACATACAGCAAAAATCTCTCTTAAAAAAAATAATAATGTATTTGTCAAGTTCTATGAAAAAGACTATTAGAATTTTATTGGAGTATATTCAATCTAGAGAGCAGCTCAGAGTGATACTATGACCTTTATGAAATCCATGGGCATGACGCTGCTGTTCATTTATTTAGGTTATACCAGATACCTTAATGAACTATAATTACGGTGGTCTCAAATGGATACTTGAAATAATTTTAACAACGTGATCATCGATGACAGCTAACACTTGCTGAGTGCTGTGTGTCAGGCTATATGGCAAACACACTTTACGGCCCAGGCTCTTGGGTGCAGCAGTGACTTAGTGTCCTGCAAGGCTGGAAGCCCCATGGCCGACTGCAGGTTTAGATCCCTGAATCGGGCTGAAAACACACCAGGCACAGGCTCCCTGAGGAGCAGGAGGACTGGGTAGGGGGATCACAGCATGACCAGACCTATGAAGGGTATCTACCTGTCTGTCTCTGCTTTGTGGTGAAAACATGTTATCAGTTTTAAAAATGCATAACGTCACATATTGAAATGCTCACATTGTAAGCTAAACAATGTGATTGAATGTATATACACAAATAAATTAATTAATTTTAAAAAATGTGATCAGATATGAGGGGTCCTCAAAGAGTTCACAGAAAATATGTAATAATAATAAAAAAAAAACTATGCCTGGATTTCAAAATTTCTTGCACCCAAGTAAATACATGCCTTAATTCTAAAAAAAAAAAAAAAAAATGCATAACGTGTACTACCTGCCTCATTTAATCCTAACACTAACCCTATGGTAGGTACTAATATCCTTACGTGGCAGATGAAGAATCTGAGGTTCAGACACAGATTTCAAACCCTCTTTTACCACCCTGGTTACTACCTACTTGAACACCATATGCCTTGAAGGACTTACCAGGAAGTCATATAAGTTTAAGTCAGATGTTCTATGGCTACCTTACAATTTTTTTCCCTGTTACTTAGGAGAAGGCTCAATAGCATTCATTTAAAAAACAGTTCTTCAGGACTTAAAATTAATGTGGCAGGCCCAGCCAGTGTAAAATGGTTGAGTCTTACATGACCAACTGTGCAGTTTGAGTCTTGGACTTGACAGCTTGAAAACATGCTGGGCACATACGCATGTATACCCAAAGTCCCAAGAGGAGAATGATGGAAAAGGGTTTCTGGTGTGGCTATCCCACTGGGGAGTTCATTCCCACCCACCCACTCTATCCCCAAGCAATTGCACATGGTCTATCATAAACTAAAAAATTAATTTTTTTTTTTTAAAGAAGAGATTTTGCTATAAGATGCACGTACTCATGGGAGACAAGAAAGCAAGAAATCACCCCCCAGGGGGGATGGCCACACCACAACCCCTTATCCTCCATTCTCCTCTCAGGATTCTGGGCATGCATGATAGTCTAATAGTCTTTTTCATAGAACTTGACAAATAAATTATTATTGTTTTTAGAGCTTCAAGCTGTTGAATCCAGTACTCGAACTGCAGTTGAATACATGGGAGTCCAGTGACATAACCATTACGCCATCTGCTGGCCTCTTAGTTAATTAACTTAATTAATGTGGCTATGCTCTATGATGTGGAAATGTGGGAACCTTGATTACCCTTTCCAACATATGGTGGATTAGACCTCGATTTGTTGTTTAAGGAGATCTTGGTTCTGCCCACATCAACTTCCTTTTCCCACCTCCTTGTGGGGGATGAGCTAACCTTCTATGTAAGCATCTCACCTCCTGAGGTATCTCAACCTTCACCGAAGTTGTCAACTCCACAGGTCCACTAGAGCACATGTGGACCTGTACCTGACCACAGACTACTTGCTCCCCAGACACTTACCAAAATGTAATTCAAGGGAATATTTTCAGAGCCTGTTCAGTCCATCCATGTTAAATTCTCTCTAGTGTGTCAAACTGAGTGGTACCTCTTGCCTCCTGCCCGGCATCTCTGGTGGCCGCTGTAGATCATATCCCACACTACCATGTGGCAGATTCCTCAGCAGTTTGGATCACCAGCTGTAGCAAAAATAAACGTAAAATTCTGATGAAAAATTCAGTGGCTAATCTGTGAAGATTCACAGGACACCAGGGTAACAGGTCACATTAGACCAGAACCACAGTTTTCATCTCTAAAATATATCACTCTGCTGAGCTCTCAGAGCAGAGAACTGGGCCATCCTTGGTTCATCTCAGCTACACCACTTGGTTCATCACACCTACCGCACTCTCATCCCGCTGAAAATACTTGATCCAACTGTTGGCAGTGCATGGCCCATTAACAAGGAATTTTGTAAGAAATCGCTCTGAAGGGCAGTCCCTGTGACCTGATGGTTAAGGCAGCCAGATTCCACACAGCTGACTGCATGCTTTGAGTCTCAGACCTGGTGGCTTGAGAAGCATGCTAGCTGTGTGTGCATGCATGCCCAAAATCCCAAAAGGAGGGAGAAATGAAAGAGAAGGGATTGTGGCATGACCATGCCCCCTAGAGAGTACTTTCTCCTGTCCCTCCCTGTCTGTTTGTCTCTCTCTGGTGAGTCCAGGCTTCCTCTAGCAAAAAAAAGAAAGAAATAGTTCTATAAAGTTGGTTTCTGTTGTTAGGTTGTCAAAATGACCGTTCTCTATATGGTCTCCTCTGGTTGAGACCCACCAGAAATTATTCTCTTTGGTCTCAGTACTTAAAACAGTTTTCTCCCATGCAGCCAGCAGGTGGCATGGTGGTTGGGATGCTGGAATTCCCACATGGCCAACCACGGTTTGAGTTCCAGACCTGGCAGCTTGCTTTCTCAGTCTCCCTCTCTTTCTGTCTTTCTCTGTGAAAGACAAAACTCATGTAAAAAAATAATAATAAATAAATACTTAGGGAAAAAAAGTTTTCTCCCAAGTAACTCAGTATTTTATTTTTTTATTTTTTTAATTTTTGAAGAGGTTTTCACTATAGGGCGCGTGTGCTCGCCAGCCAGACAGAGAGAGACATAGAGACAGAAAGAGAGAAATCACCCCCCGGGAGGGATGGCCACGCCACAATCCCTTCTCCTCCGTTCTCCTCTCAGGATTTTGGGCACGCATGCACACGCGCCCGACGTGAGTTTTAAGCCACCCGGTCCGGGACACAAACTGCGGTCGACTACGTCGGAGTCCAGCGACATAGCCATTACGCTAACTGCTGGTCCCGCAAGTAACTCAGTATTTTAGGATTTTAAGCTGGGAATATGGATCCTACTCCTTCTTTAATCTGACTGTTGGAAAGCTCAGAATAAATCTGCTGTCCATTCCTCAAACTTCCCTTTGCCCTAGTTCTTCACTTATTTGTATGTTATATTTTATGAAAGCTACTTTAAAACCACTTTGAGACAGGATGAGGTATAAATAAATAATAAATCATGTTTTGTGTAGACATTTATGTTGTTTGCAACTTTTTTACTATTATAATATCAAGATAAAATCTCTTAAAAGAATGATTTGTTATTATTATTATTTTAATTTGACCAGAGAGAGACAGAGAAAAGGAAGAAGTGAAAGTGAGCTGCCAGGTCCAGGACTCAAACCATGGTTGGCCATGTGGGAGTCCAGTGCCCTAACTATCATGCCACCTGCAGGCCCCAAGATGAAAACCTCAAGTAATTTTTTGACTTATTTTATTCTACTGGTCTTAGTACAATTTTGACTTTTTCTTTTAATTAAAGTTTTTGTGATAGGGCATGTGCACTCACCAAAGAGAGAGGAACAGAGAATGTGAAAGTGAGAAATCACCCCTAGGATAATGGCCACACTGCCATCTCCTCTTGGGATTTTTGGGTGCCTAAGAACACTCATCTGGTGTAAGTGTCAAACTGTCAGGTCTAGGACTCAACTTGCAGTCAGACGTGAGAGATCCAATGCTTTAACCTCCACACCACCTGCTGGCCCTTGACTTTTTCTCCTTAAAGAGCCCTACATGTTAAAGTTGATATGTATGAGTAGAGGGTTTTTTAATATAATTATTTATTAAATTCCATTTGTCATTATCATTTTTTAATTTGGTTTTTTTTAATATAATTATTTATTTAATTCCATTTGTCATTATCATTTTTAATTTGACCAGAGACAGAGATAGAGAAAGTGAGAAAGCAAGTTGCCAGGTCCAGGACTTGAACCACGGTCAGCCATGTGGGAATCTAGTGCCACTAACCACCAAAGCCACCAGCTAGCCCCAAGTAGGGTTTTCTTAACACATTAATTTTTTGAGAGAAAGATTTTTACTACAGGGCACATGCACTCACTGGAGAGACAGAAACCGAGAAATCACCCTTCCAGGAGATGGTCACGCTACAATCCCTTCTCCTCCATTCTCTGCTCAGGATCTTGGGCACACACGCACAAACATCAGCATGAGGTTCAAGCCACCAGGTCCAGGACTCAAACTGCGGTCGACTAGGTGGGAGGTCCAGCAATGTAACCATTACGCCATCTGCTGGTCCCTACCCATTAATTTTTCTAACTACTTATTTGCTATGTATAGAACAGTTTTTACTTTAGTATCTTTTTAATGTTTTCAAACTGTCTTATTATGCTTACTGATTTTAATAAATTTTACTTGGTTTTCTCAATTATCCTATCATCTCAGTAATAATGAGAATTCCTTTCTCAAAATGCTCATTTCTGTCTCTTGGTTTAGTGTATTAGCTAGAACTTCTAGAATTATATGGAACAATAATAGTCATCCTTGTTTGTTCTCAATAGACAGTGGCTCTTTGGGACCAGCAGATGGTATAATGGTTATGTCGCTGGACTCCCTTATGGTCAACTGCAATTAGAGTTCTAGACCTGATGGCTTAAATCTCATGCCAGGCACGTGTGTTTATGGTCCCAAAATTCCAAGAGGAGGATGGAAGAGAAGCGACTACAGAATGGCCATCCCCTCTGGGGGAGTGATTTCTCACTTTCTGTCTCTGTCTCTCCAGCGAGCACATGCACCCTATAGCAAAAATCTCTCTCAGGTCTCTGGAGTGATTCTGTGCTGCATGGCTGTTTTCGAGAGCCATAGTTATTTACCTCCATCCGCCTTCTCACCCACCTAAGTGTGTGCCACCACCCCATGGAAGATTCGATGGACATGGACATGAGCCCCCGAGGCCCCAGAACTATTTTTTCGGTTGTGAACTAAAGGCCAACAAAGATTATCACTTTAAAATGGATAATGATGAAAATAAACACCAGTTATCTTTAAGAACGGTCAGCTTAGGTGCTGGTACAAAGGATGAACTGCACATTGTTGAAGCACAGGCAATGAATTATGAAGGCAGTCTAATTGAAGTAACACTGGCAACACTGAAAATGTCTGTACAGCCAACGGTTTCCCTAGGGGGCTCTGAAATGCCACCACCTGTGGTATTAAGGTTGAAGTGTGGTTCAGGGCCTGTGCATATTAGTGGACAGCACTTAGTAGCTGTGGAGGAAGATGCAGAGGCAGAAGAGGAAGAGGAAGAGAACGTGAAACTCTAAACATATCTGGAAAGCGATCTCCCCCTGGAGGTGGTAGCAAGCTTTCACAGAAAAAAGTAAAACATGCTGTTGACGAAGATGATGAAACAGAAGAAAAAGCTCTAGTGAAGAAATCTATACAAGATACTCCTGGCAAAAATGCTCAAAAATCAACCAAAATGGAAAAGACAAAATCATCAACACCAAGATCAAAACGTCAAGAATCATTCAAGAAACAGGAAAAACTCCTAAAACACCAAAAAGACCTAGTTCTGTAGAAGACATTAAAGCAAAAATGCAAGTATAGAAAAAGGTGGTTCTTGGGACCGAAAGGTGACATGTGGTTAAAGGCACTGGATTCCCACATAGCCAACCATGGTTTGAGTCCTGAACCTGGTGGCTTGCTTTCTCGCTTTCCCTTTCTCTGTCTGTCTCTCTCTGGCCAAATTAAAAAAATACCAGCGGATGGCATGGTGGGTTAAGGTGCTGGACACTCCCAATGACCAACTATGGTTCAAGTCCTGGATGTGGTGGCTTGCTTTCTCATCTTCTCTCTCTCTGCCTCTCTCTGGTCAAATTAAAAATGAATGAATAAAGTTAAATAAATCTTTTTTTGTTTGTTTTATTTGAGAGGTTTTTGCTATAGAGTGTGTGCGCTCATCAGAAAGACAAAGAGAGACAGAGAGACAGAGAGACAGAAAGCGAGAAATCACCCCCCCAGGGGGAATGGCTATGCCACAATCCCTTCTCCTCTATTCTCTCCTCAGGATCCTGGGCACACACGCACACGCGCCCAGCATGGGTTTAAGCCACTGGGTCCGGGACTCAAACCACCATCGACTACATGGGAG